CTCCGCCCCCCACGCCCCCCCCCCCTCCCCGTTCTCGCTTGCTGATGCCTGTGGTGTGCAAATGGTCTTGGTAACAACGCGGCAGTTGTCGTTCGGCTCCTATCCCCCTGCCAACGCCACAGACGATGAACAGGACCTCAGGGACACGTGGTTCCCCAAGGCTCGCGACTGCACGTGCTGCAAGGTGTGTCATGTGATCGTTCTTTGGGTTGTCGGGGCATTTTCGTCGAGACGGGTTTTGTGTCGTGGTTGTTGTCGTGTGTGTTGCCTCTGACGTTTTAAGTTTCGAGTCTCAGCTCACGACCTTCCGGCGTCCGCACTTTGGTTCGACCTAAACGTGGACTCCGTCGGGCGTGTGTACCACCTTGAAAGAGGTGTCGAAAGTTTTCTTGTGGTGACCGGATACATGGTGGCAAATGAAGAGACGACAAAAGGGGCCTGGAAGAATCAACGCAAACGCCATTATATAATATGACCGAGAGAAAAGGCTTCATCCATGCACACGTCGCGGGCATGTCGGACAAGGAGATGGTTCGATAGAGACCAACGCACCCTCGTCTTCACGTCTTTTCGGTTTGTTCGGTGTTTGGAGGCAACGGGATCGATGATTGATTTCTGTAGGCTGCGCGCGAGACTATTCTCGATACTGCGAGATTTTTTTTTTCAAGCTCGAGAAACGCACCGTTACCCAAACGTTTCCCGTACTACACCTATGAACCCATCTCTCGCTCTCTCTCTCTATTTCTCCCGCTCGCACACACATACACACAACGTACACTCTGCACCTTGTGGTATCAGAAGGCGATTTGTTGTGAATTCCCCCTTGAGATTTTCAGCCCGAAACCGCGCCGAACCGTTATTGGCATGCCGCAAATGAACGACGCGACGTGTACGTGCGATTGTAAATCAATTTTGTGCAACTCTTTTTTTTTTTTTGCCATGACAAGGTTCTGAACTGGATGCCTCCAACATAAGAGAGTACCGTCTGTGTGTTCTGGATGCTTCATGAGCAGGAGTTCTTTTGCATCATGTATTGGGGCTGTGTCACCGCGGACGCTTTGTTGCGGCCAACCTTTCCCGACTGATTATCTCACGTGTGCTCCTCTCTTGGCTCTCTCTCTCTGCAATGTTATTGCTTCTAACGTCCCCCCCGCTCCTGTCTCTCTCTGCGGTTGCTGTTGTCCCCCCCCCTCTCTCTCTTGCCTACGTCTCCGCGAAAAGGGCTTCGTGTACGGCTGCACCGCCGACATCTGCGACTCCATGGGACAGTGCACGTGCAGCATTGAGGAAGCAGACCTGGACGGCAGCAGCGACGTCGCCTCAAATATCGTAAGCATAAATAGATAAACAATCGACAGTTCCTTACTTGTGAACCGCGGTTCAGAGAATGCGGCAACAGTGAAAATTGGCTCTCGATTGCACATCGACGGCCTGCTTTCTCAACTAGCAGGTGGTCGTAGCGACGCCAATTCAAGCACGTGGGAAACCTGTGAACATGCCTAGACTTGAAACCTTGGGCTGGTGTCTGCGTTTGCTTACGAAGGGCAGCGGCGATGCCACGCCCAACATGGGGAGCATTGTTCTACGAACGTGGATTCTGCATGAGCAGTCATCTAGGATACAAGAGAAGGACACTACTGTGATTTGCGTGGCCTTACCGCAGCCACAGCTGCATGTAGGGCGCAGACAAGTTCAGGTTTGCAAGACGGTTGGATTTTTCGATCATATTGATTTGACTTGGGATCTCCCATTTCGAGGCAAACGGGTTTATCGCTCTTTCGTTCTTGTCGTATGTTCGAAAGGCTGTGTACTTCGTCCCTGTTCTGCCTTGGTCCCGAACCCTTCATCCAATTTTCACCACCACTTGCTGATAGAGAACTATCTTCTCTATGCTTTGCTACATAGAATTTTGTGGTTGAGTCCATTTCTTTTTATTTTAACAGTATTGGTGCGTGCTCGTGACCGTTCTCGACCCCCATACCCTCGTCCTACAATTCGTCATTCGAAATTCTACCTTGTTTTCTTAACCCTCATCCCCCCATCACGACTCTCCCAATTTTCTATTTTTTTGTTTTTTTTTGGCAAAGTCGAGGACGGACTCCCCGCACTTGGGGATGGCATGCAACGGCAGCCCGATGGGACCTGGGGAGGGGTGGACACAGCCACCGCAGCCCCCTACAGAGTCAGTCCTAGCGGCGGCGGCGGCGGCGGCGGCGCCACCTGCGCCCGCAGGGGGGGGCGGGGGGCGACCTAGCGCGGGCAGGGGGGCGGGGGGCGGTCCGGAATGCCGCTACGGCACGGGTTGCAAGCGGGCGAACTGTTCCTTCGGCCACCCACGAGGTGACAAGAGCGGAATACCGGGGAGAGCTATGCTGGGTGTCTCGGCCTCGGGTGTTGGGACCCGCGGGACAAGCACCATTGCCAAGGCTGTGGCATGCCGCTGTGTCGTTGCTCTGCTGCTGTGTTGGTAGTGCGTCCAGTCACACACACAGGCAGTACTTGTCCTGCGGGCGGACTGACTTCCATCCTGGCTGGAAAAGTTGCGCCCCCCGGGTGATAATATTCCCCGCTCGGCCGATGCGGGGCGGCTTTCCTGAAGTAACACGTAACGCGTGCCACGAAACCGGTTTGTTTGGATGATCTTCCTGGAGTTGTTTCTGATGCTGGGAGAAGATACCTCCGTTTTCCATCGGCAGAGCCCTAGTATTTTGGTAGCATGATTCTTCTGCATGCACGGCACTGACAATCCCACCAGGTGCCGGTGGGCCCAGTCGGAGATGTGGGAGATCACACGTCGAAAGCTTTCGTAACTCGTGTGCATTCTGAAACGTACGAGTCACAGGTCGCAAGATGGACTCAGACGGGGTTACGTTCGGCGATTTCGGCGGTGGTGGTGGCAGCGGCGGCAGCGGTGGGAGGGGGGCGGGGGCGAGATCAACGGCCCAACAGGACCTCATGGACACTTGGTACCCGGACTGTCGCGAATGTTCCTGCTGCAAGGTGGGAAAAAAAAAAATCAGAAAAATGAGTAAGGTAGGACCACAAGGGAGCAGACCACGTGCTCAAGCAGCTTTTGCGCTGCATTCTTTGAGCTGCCGAGTGGGCGCATATATTCTGCCCCAGCTTTCCCTTCGCGTGGGACAGTTTGGAGCCATTCGTTTTGCGCGTTGACCAAGCGTAACTTGTTCAAGTCGACTTCGTTATTGCCTAAATAACTCGGGATGGCGTGTCGGTTGTCTCTCGTCTTGGCTCCCTGGCCCAACCGACTACTGCCGCTGCTCTCGCCCCCACAAACATGTCCATGGGGCTGCGGTTTTTTGGAGTGATGAAGTCAGGAACGTGTGATGTGCTTGATTTTTGGAAAGGAAAAAGGGGGGTTTCGTCGTTACATTCTCGGCGACGACCGATACTCTCAGCACCAGCTAGATAGGCGGATGGGGATACTTTGGAACAGAGTTGGGTCTCCGCCAATGATGCGCTCTCCTGTTGACCAAGCTTTCTCCCAGAAAAATCGCAGCATTGCAAGACTGATCCCTGTTCCTCGGGGGTGATCTCACCGAGATACCTCACCCAATCACGTTCTCCTCCGGTCCTTAAGGTATGTACCGCACGAAAGCCCCCTCCCCAAAATGTTTTTTTTGCCTTTGTTTCTTTTTTTTGTTTGCGGTAACCGCAATGGTGTTCGGTTAGACCATCTCGTGCGGCATCGAGAACCCTCACTCCGCGCAAAGGGGATGATCGCACCACGTTGTGTGAAATTGGTCAAGCACCGTCGAGGCGCTTACACAGCAGTGCTTGCAGCTGTCTCTGGAAGTGAAGGCACCAGAAAATAAATAAAGTCATGTGCATAGGCAGCTGTCATCCGTACGCAGGGAAGTAAGCACAAGATGCCGAACACCCTCAGCAGGATGCAGCGCACCCTTCATGCGACTCGCCGAATGCCTCACGGCGCTTCGCCCTTGGTGATGTGAGAGCCTGGTCCG